TTCTATTTTTAAAAATCATTTTATCCTTTGGGAGTTTTGTTTAGAGTGTGCCAAAAAAAGTCTCAAAAAATTCCTATCTTATTTACCTGATAAAATTTAACATCTTAAGGTCTTCATTTCCTCTGAGCGCGAAACAAAGTTGCAGTAACATCAGTGGGATTGGGGCATCCAGCCTGATCAAGTGCAGACGTCTTCTCTACCTGTGATGCCCCCCACCCTCACCCCCTCACCCAACACAAACGTCATGGTACAGGATCTGAGTCCAGGAATTAATGCAGAATTAGGAAGGCCTGGATTTATGTTTTGTTTTGTTTTGTTTTTTGGTACCAGGGATTGAACTCGGGACCTTGCACTTGCAAGGCAGGTGGCGGAACCACTGAGCTAAATCCCCGGCCCTAGGAATGCCTGGATTTAAAATACAATGCCTCTGATAAGACTCAAAAATCCCATTCCACACTTTTCAATTTCCACACCATACTTATTATAATGCAATTTTCAAAGTCCTAAGGCTATGGTTCTCGATGCTTTGGGGGGACAGTGCTGACTTCAGGGGCAACATTTAACGATGTTTACAGACCCTTCTGGTTTATCATGACTGGTGGGGCGATGCTGCGGCCATCTAGGTGCATACTAGCATTTAAGAATCCTGCTAAACACCCTATAAGACACAGAATTACCTGGCCCCAAATGCCAATAAAGCTAATACTGAGAAATCCTATTGTGGGGAATGAAGTATAGTACGTAATTATTCAAAAATAGTTACTATGTACATACTACCAGTTTGGAATACGGCTTAGGGTTTGAGATGCAGAGATAAAACCCAGAGTTTCTTTCTTAAGAACTTCAAAGTCAAGTGGGAGGATCAGTAACATAAATGGATAATTATTGTGGAATAAATTCTATGAAAGACATAGAGAAGAATAACTTAAGCTTGGGGGTTGGAGAGATTCAGGTAAATCTGTGAATGGATGAGTCTTAAAACATAGATAATAGGAATTTTTCAGATTAAATAAGAGAAAATCACTTTAAGGCAAAGAAAGGAAAGAAAGCAACAGTGAGCACAAAGAACATTAGCAAACAACCTGGCCACCCCAGCATGCCATATATATTCTTTATTCAAGATCCCAGCTGGAAGAGGCTGGGCATTAATATGGTTCTGTACTCTTTTATTGCTTTTCCCCTCACAGGGAACACCTTCCTAACTTTTTTTTTTCCTGTTTGATGAAACCATCACCATCTTTCAATACTGCATTCTGAGAAAGGAATGCTTTGCTCCTGTGTTTTAATGTTCACTGATTTGTTGCAAGCATGAGAATAGTGACTAGCATTTAGCAAATGCTCAATAAATATTTTGCAATAACAATGAATTAACACAAATAATTCCTATCTTAAGTGTTGCTCAATTTCTTGCTGTTTAAAAGCAGAAATAGGTGCATAATGATTTTTAATAAATGAAAAATAGGAAAACATAATGAACAGAACAGAGATATATCTACTAAGTATTTGGACTTGATATAGCTCAGCAAAACATTTCCCTTCTTGGCTTCCCTGAAGAGCAGAGACTGAAGGATTCACTAAATATGAAGAAGTTAAAATCACTTGCACTTCATACTCAGAGACAAACACTCTTCTTGGTAAATATTTTCCCAACACATTTCAAAAAGTATTTTCATATATAGACATGCATATTTGAACAAAATAGAGTTGTACTACATGTAATTTTTTACAACTGCTTTTTACTTCTCTTCATGTCATTCAATATAAATATGTATCATTGTAATGAATACATCATGTTTTATTTTGTGGAGGTAACATGATTCATTTTAAAAGATTCCTGTGTTGGATGTTTATATAACTTTCAGTCTTTTGATGTTACAAACAATACCACAGTTGATATACTTTACTCATTTTTGCATACTAGTGGCATTATTATCTTTGGGTGAATTTCTAAAGCATGCATGAAACATACAGCTTTGGAAATATACTATAAAAGTGCTCTTCAGAAAGTGTGAGATCACCATTCCCTCAAGCATTGTGTAAAAGACAGTTTTCTCACACTTTTAATTAAGCACAAGGCTGTATGTTAGATTTTAATTTAATGTTATAATCTAATAGCTTTTCCTTTATCATTTTTGACTCATGAATCAATGCTTGGAAATAATTTTTCTACTAAAAGATTCTAAAAACCTCTATCTATAATTTCTTTTAATAATTTTTATGGTTTTATTTTTCATACAGAAATCATTAATTTCATCAGAAATCAATCTTGCTCTAAGTCATAGAATAAGTGCATTTTAATAAAGGATATTCAAATATAACAATATATTTAATAAGTAATTTATCTTTTTATATTTGTGACATGTGATGCAATAAGCAAATGTTTATAGTTAGACCGACTTCTGGACATAGCATTTTTTTCTGTTGGTCTGTCTACTTTTTCCCTGACTAGGATACAACTTATATTTTTAAAACTTGATAATATACTCTAATATTTTATAGATTAAGGATCCCATTTCTGTACCCAGAACATAATAAACTATGTATTTGTACAACTGAATCTTCTCAACTTTTTTTTTATTATTAAAGATTCATTTTGTTCTTTTTGGAGTTTTTTTTTTTGGAACACTGGGAATTGAACCCAAAGTCTTCACATTGAACTACATCTCCAGGTCTTTTCATGCTCCTTCATATTGTATACTGAGACAGGCTCTCACTAATTTGCTAATTTGCCCAGGCTGGGCTTGAATTGGTGCTCGTCCTGCCTCAGCCTCCCAGAGCACGTCTGATAGAGGTGTGTGCCTCTACATCTGGTATTTTGTGTAGCATTTTTTAATGAAAATGCATCACATTTTAAAATATCTTCTGTGTAGTCTATAATTTTAATTGTAGTTATGAAAGATTCTTTTCAATTGTATTTAATTTTTATAATTAATTTATATACAGATAAAGGTATAAATTAACATACATTTTTCTAAAGGAGCAAGTTACACATCTCATTCAATATTTTGGTAGTTTTCCAATCAAATTATGTAATTTACAAATGTTAGGTTTGTTTCCATTTTTGCCATATTTACAATTTATGCATGTTTTAAAAATCTGATTGTACTGGTTATCAATTCCAGAAAAATCTAAACTAATTTAAAAGCAAACAACTTTCATGATTTTAATGAGAATGTTTCTAATATTAAACATGGTAATAGAATTCTCATTTCAGTACTAAAAATGATAATTGAAATGCACTGAAAATATCAACTACATAAAATCTACAACTTATAATGACAAAAAAAGCAACAACAATGATAGCAATGGAAACCTTCTTTGTCACTCTTAGAGAGGGTTAATCCTGAACTTCGAAAGGAAACAAAAAGCAGATGCAAGTATTTATTCTTCCTTTCCTTATGAGCTATATTTTTACTTTATCAAATAGTTGATAAAAAAAATTTTTTAAAATATACGTGAATGGAATGAAACAGTGGTTGCTAGAGGAAGGGAAAAACAGGAAGGTGGAAGGATGCAAAGAAGTTAGCTGAGGATCACTGAAGCACAGGGAGGATGAGTCAGATCTGGTTTTCTAAAGCAAAATAGGGCAACGACTGTTATAATTATCTATGAAGTATTTCAAAATAATCAGAAGACCTCAACACACAGGAATGATCAATGTTTGAGGAGACAGAAGAGCTTATTTCCCTGATTTGATTATTACATGTTATCTACATGTATCAATTATCACACTATATTCCATAAAGATCTACAAACATGTTGCAATAACAATAATAAATAATTCCACTTAATTAAATACTAAAGAAATCCTTGCAATGTCTAATGAGATGACACATCTAAGAAACAATTATGAATGGATGCTGAAAGCCATAGATAAAATATTAGAAAACATTATTCTGGAGGGAATCAGGATTCTAGCACACAAACATTGATAAATCACAGAATCACAAGTGAGCAACACTGATATTATATTTATCATTAAGTACTAAGAAATACTCTTGGCTTAACAACAATGACAAAACAAGAACAAAGGACTGCCTGGATCTAATCTAACCAAAGGTTTAAATACCAACTTATAGAAAATATAAAAATAGAGGAAAAAACTGAATAAGAATTGAAAATATCAAATCTAGAATACTGATATTCAAAAGGACCTGTAAATCAATGGAATGAAATAAAGATGAGTTATAGATTAAAAATAAAATTTAAGAGTCAAACAAATGGAGTATGAATTTTGATTCAAAATCTATTGTAAATAGACATCTGGAGACAATTAAGAAAATTTGAATATTGACTTATATGCTATTAATAAATAGTACATAATTATATTAGTTATAATAATGGATTTCTGATAATATATATAACAGCAAATAAACAAAAACAGCATTCTTGCCAGTTAGATGAACATACTCTTTAATTTACATGTAAAATGTCACCATATCTAGGCTATAAATACTTCAGGCTATAAAAATGGAGGAAATTCATAGAAGAGAGACAAAACATGATAATTTTTAAAACTAAGTGATAAGCATATTGAAGTTCATTTCATTATTTTCTCTATTTTTGTGTGATGCATAAGATTAGCAATAAAAATGAAAGCAGTTAAGGAATAAAAGACTGGGAAATAGGTAAGGATCAGGGATAATTTCAAGAGTAGAGGGAGTTAATACACTGAGCGCACAATGAAATCTGAGAGAGTGCCAGCCTGGGAAAGTAGAGAAGGAGGTTGAAACAAACTGTCAGAGGGGACGAGGTTGAAGACTGCGCAAACTGAGACTAAGGTAGGTAGGTAAGAAGGTGAAGAGCGAGCGGGAGAGGGCAGCTGAAGCACTCATACAGATGCCTAGAAAAACACTCCCTATCTGGATCACAGAGGTCTGGAAATCATCTTTAGGTATGGGCTATCTCTTGTTAGTATATCAACTCCCTGCCATTGATATTTCAGGTCAAGCATTTTCGTGGGGGCTGATATTATGATCTCCTCATCATTACAACAAACGTTGCAACCACCACCGTTTATTCATAAAACCTTACTTTACAGAACTAAGCGTTACAATTTAAGAGATTTAAAATACCATTAAAATCACATTGTAAATATAAAAAAAGCTTAAAAAGAGATACCACCTCTGAATTTTATGGTATTCTAGGACATACAGAGCAGGCAAACCAACGAATATCTGCCTTCTTACATTCAGCAGCACAACTGAAGAAGCAATTTGTTACAAGCAGATGGATAGTTGAACACTAAAAAGGATGACAAACTAGAAAGAAATTAGATATTGAAATCAATTTCTTTTAGTCTTAGCATGAAACTTCAGTTTCACACAAACAATTGTATTTGAAGAAGTCAGGAAAAAAATGTCATACTAAGATGGGTGCCCGTGAAAACAGAGCTTTACACATGCTATAGCCTGTAGAATCACCATTTACTTGATTGGTCCAAATATTTATAGTTCATTGTTATGACTGCCAAAATTGGCAACCACAAGGATTGTTGTCTCAATTAGGACAGTAAACAGATTGTCTCTTTTTTTAATGAAAAAATCTAAAATGTAATACTTCACAGTTTAACATGTTTATTCATCTAAACGAGCTAAAAAATAATGGTGCGACATCTGTTCGAGAAGCATTGGTACCTCAAATTTTGGCTGCCTCCCCACCAATTTGGTTGTTTTAAAAAATGAAGAATAGGAGGGGGTACTGTCATCAAAAAATCTTCTGGCATGTAGAGTATCTTATTTTTTTCTTAAAATGAGGATCTCATATCTGTTGCTAGGGGTTTAAAAAATTGTGTAACAAGGAGGCAGTACACTGAATACGGCTGCAGTTCAATTGTTTTAAGTGAATTACTGATCCAGTACGGGCATTTCCACATTGGCATAGTTCTTTACATGACTTTCCCAGTTCCCTCAATACTTAACTATATTACCCTGAACAAAATGGTAAGAATGTTTTTGTAGGTATTGACTTCATCTACTACTTTAAAAAAATTTTTTAATGTGGGTTCTACTGATTCTAGATCTAGTGTCAGTGGAAAAAAACCATTCTAAGTAGGCTGCATTGGACTAGTTCTAATAAAAGAAAGCAGTGCTGCTCAGGGAGAAGTGGTAGGAATCATCCCAGAGAAGTCCCAGGTAAGTGACAAGTCTAATTGTTGTTAAGGAGAGAACATGAATTTTAGGTAATCTGTGGCTAAATAAGCATGTTTTGGATGAAATACCTTAAAATTGGATAAGTTGAATTTCTGAAAGTTTATTTCTAAAGCTTATCTCAAGCACAGTTCCCTTTATGGACTTATCATTCATTATATTTTAGAATCTGCAAAAATTGAGTACATTGCTATTCATATAAATGTTATGATAAAAATTTAGTTTTAGTTTTTTGGAGTGAAGGCATATGCTAAATTGAACTTAGCCATGAAGTATGTTTTAAAATAAACATACGTACTTGATTTTCTAGAAAAGTCAATGTTTCTATTTTGTGGCAAACTTAACACTAATTTTTTTAATCTTCAAGAGAAGTAGGATGAAACAACAACCAATGACTATACATGTTTAATGCTGAGTTGATCAATACTGTGATGCTTATGTTTTACTTATTAAATTTAAGCAATTTTTGATTATCTACTATATACACAGAATTTTTCCAGACTCTGAAAGGACTAAAATATATTAACTTTCATTTTAGCAGGTATATATTATATTTATGTGCAGATTACTACACTATTGGAATGACAGAAATGAGTAAGAACATACCCTCAGCATTTTATAATCATTGATTAGGATAAGAGTTATTTCTTCTGTCTTTGTGAAAAAATTGAACAGGAGTTTGAAGTATTTTTGTTCCCTTAAAACAACTAACCTTGTATTTGTACTAAAGGATTTTTGTTTGTCTCAAAATAAATATTAGATATTATATTTTTATAATATCTCCTTGCAAATAAATTTATGTATTCTTTACCCTAGTCTAGACTTGAATGCAAAATAAGAAGTAGCAACCCTTCATACTCCATTCATAGTATTCCATAGGCCATATTTTAAGTCTCAAGTTAGAAATTTATTTTGCAGAGTATGTTAACAAGTCGGTTCTAACATTCTGAAAAGTCATCATAATTTTTTCTGGTTTTGTTTCCTGCTTACAGTAGAGGAAATAGCCATGTCTAATATTTACCTGGTGCCAGGCTCAGATTTATGCCAAACACTACTCACTATTCAAAAGTGTAGTGCCCTGAAACATCAGAAAGATAATCACCTTTCTGTCTTCAAAGATTCAAACCAGACTTTCAGTCTGGGATTTATCTTCACATGATTGGCTGTTTCCCAGTTAGTGTGACTTTTTGAATTTTGAATGAAATTTGAATTTCATAAAAACAGTGTCTAAACATATACTGTATTGTCTCACTTAACCTGCTATTTAATTAAATCAAAGCTTTAAGCCTTTGGGATTTATGGTTCTCTGGGGCCATTAGAAATCAATCTGTTATACAAATGGACTATGTATAGGCTCAGGATATTAATAAAACTAGGCAATGAAACTTGTTTATAATTATGCTATATTTAGATTAATATTTATTACTAACAACAACTTTTTCCCACAAAAGAACACCTCACAAGTAAAACAGAATGGTAAAGTTTTTCTCAGAATGATGAATTTTCAAGCATTTCCAAAAGTATAGTCATCTCTTTTATATACCGTAAACTTTGTTACTATCTCACTTGGATAGGCATCTAATAAGCAATTATTACATATCCTCTTATTTAAATTACCACTGAAAACCAGAAGTAATCTTTATTTAATATGACTGTTTTTAACACCATATGGGAAGGAAATAACTAAATGAAAATTGTTCACGTAAATGCGATAGGAGTGGAGGAAAGCAGTATTTCTTGACATGTGGCGTGTCACTCAGGAAAGTAAAAGGCCCATCATATCCAAAATGCCAGCTTGGATATTCCCTTGCCTCCCACTTTGCGAACAGACATACCACATGGCATAAAATGCTGCAACCTTTCCTAAAAATGCCACTTGGATTGGTCCACTGTGGTGAGTACATAAGAACTCTTGATCTGTCTCTTGAGTTTGTGAGTTCAAGAGGAAGAATCAAGTAAATAACACTGGTTAAATGTTGCCCTCAGATGTTTGGCACAGATAATCTCTAAGAAAATTGGAATCTTTGGCTGTTTTCACACTGATAAAATAAATTATGCTACTTTAAAAAATTCTACAATGTTGCACTACACTATCAACTTCAACTTTTTGTAAAAGTACCAAAGAATATCCTTTTTTAAAAAAAATTGTGCTTATTAAGCCCCATACACGTCTTGGGTATTTATCAAAGCTTCTGTCCCTTGGCCAGTAAGGAAACAATCTTAATATTGTATTTGTTCTTCATAAATACAATATACACATTATAAAATATTTCTCTGAGTATATATTTCAAACTATCCATTTTCTATACCTATGTATGTAATGAAATAGCTAAACACTCTTTGAAAAGATATTTTCCAATTTTTTCAGTTTTATGTATTCATGTGTTTCAAAAAACCACTAAAGTTTAATTACCAATAAAAATATTAAGTTTCCTGGTCATTATGCTCCAACAAATGCAAAATACATTGAAAACTATATAAACAGAAAACTACATATGAGAGTAATAGAAGACATACATTTTCTTCTATCATTTATTTCTCTAGTTTTTAGAGAGTTCTATAGGATTAACTTTTAAGAGACAGAATGAAATTTTCCAAAACAACTTTGTATTGTTCAGCTTTAGGGCATAATCCAAGGAGATGTTTGGAGGTAAGACTTCCGCTATTTCTCTGCTGTGAAAAAGACTGCACAATTAAATGACAGATTGTTACATCGCTCCCTAACAAGAGGGGCAAACTGATATTGTAGGCAGCCAGAACAACATAATTAAAATAGAATTCCAAGTTTATATTAATAGAGTAATCAGTTAATTAAAATCAAGATCAACTGAACTTTCTATTTACACCAGTTCAGACAGCCCAAGAGGAAAGGGACTCTATTTGAGAGACATATGTGACTCTTTGAGCTTCTGTCATCCAGGTGCCATTTCTGACGAAGCACATGTGCACTGAACAGTTGGCAAAGAAGGAACAAGATTACTGTAGATGTACGTGCAGAGAGTCTCGCTAATGATATAAAATGTGTCTGGAAAGAAAGCGGGGTTTCTTTGTGAAAGAAAACATTTTCATTCCTTTTTAGCTCTGAAAGTGAGCTGATTCTAAGCTCAGTACTTTTACTTACAATGTCTATAGAACAAAACTACATGTAGTAATCTGTACGTGAAGGAGTTATACCCATACATTGGGTAAGAAATCTGAAGAATTTAGGATCAGTTATTCATCTTGTCTAAATGCATCATACAGAGGGTACTTTTCAAACCAGAGAGATTTATAAAAGTGTCTGGTAGCATACATTATACAGCATTGCCAGGTGAAGTTCTTTTCTTGATATCCTATACAATTATTTTAAAAGACATTTCTGGAAACTGAAAGTACCAGAATAAAACATGCAACATGTTGTAGTTTCATCACTTCAGGAAGCACTGGTACCAAAAGGTGCTTTTATAAAACTATTATTCTTTATTGTTGCTCAGCTAATCTTCGTTTGGGTCCAGATCAGGGTCAACACCCGTGGACAGTCTGAGATAAAAGAAAGCATAGAAAGCCAACAGGAGGGCCAATATAGCTGCAAGCACGAGGCCAACTTCCTGGGAAAGAAAGAAAAGGAGACTTGAAATTGATGAAGATATTATCATCAGTATCATTTGATAAAATAACCATATTATTCTTCAGTATAGACAGAGTGAATAATCTGAAACTAATAATTCCATTCTTTTTGTTTTATAGTTTTTGCCATTAAATAAATTTATTTCACACACAATACTCATTGCAATTGCAAGCACATCAGTGGATGTGTTATTCTTATTATACTTTTAGTTGATTTAGGTTTTTTTCCTAATAGTAAATTTGAAATTTGTTGCTTTAATATATTTTAAGTTTGGATACCAAAATGTTAGATGAAAGCAATGTAGTCTGCATGTATACCATTTATCTGTTGTGTATTTGAGAATGCTTAATTTCACTTTTTGCTTCAATAATACACTTGCTATTAAGTGGTAGCATTTGGATACAGATTTGTAAAAATATTTATCATTCCATTTCAAGTGTGAAGAAAGATTTATTATAAATAACCAGTTTTAGATTATGTCTCTGTATACATTCTCATTAAATATTACTTTGTTCAAGCTCTAATCTTTAAATCCTAAATTCTATAGCTTCTATGTAGAGGAGCAAAAATGAGTACTTAGCTCATGAAGCATAATACAGTACAATTTATCACAACTGTGAAGGATGGTACTTGATATTTCATTTATTGATTATATTAATCAACTGTATGAAAATAATGACCAAAAATTTTACCATATAGATTATTATATAATCATATTATCTCTTGAGTATGTGCATATGTGTATGTTTATATATGTATGCACATGTGTGAATGTATATAACCTTTCTCAATATTAACGTATTATTCTGACAAGTAGAAGAAAAGCACATAGTGCCAGTTCAATATCCTAAAGGACCTAAAATTTTGTTCTGGTTTTCCCATGTGCATTACATCACTTATTTGGCATCACTTTCTGGGGAAGTAATTCATCTGCAGTCACATGAATATATTTTATATTTCATAAGAATGTAAAATAAATATTTCAACATATGCCACCTTTAAACTTTAAAAACATTAAAATAAACTTCATTTATACTCAACATGAAATGTTTACCTAAACACTGAAATTAAAAATATATATTTTATACAAATTCTTAAATTTTGTAATTCAACTTATTTAGCTACCAGGCTATAAAAATAAATATTAATAAAGCTATGGGGTTGAAAACTCAGTGTCAACAATTTTTGTAAGACCTGATTTTTAAAATCTAATATATCAATATAATGTCACATGAAAGTGAATTTTTCTTTGTTACAATTGGAACACTTTGGCATCTCAAAAGGGCATGGCAGCATCAGACAGGTTTCATTTATTTTCTTATATCCACAGCTGTGCTCCCAGACCCATCTGGTTACCCAGCTACTAATTTTAAGAGGATGTAATAAACAAGTGACACACAACTGCAAACTCCATCTGTTCTGTAGAGTGGACAACAAAACTGATCAACAGCAGTCGGCGTTCACCCAAGCTTAATGCAAAAATGTTTTTATTCTTGATTGGAGACCATGCTTCTCATCTTACTGATAATCAACTTTAATTGCTGCTTTTCAATTTCTTGTTCTTAAAGAAACTCTGTATCATAATTGGAACATATCTTTGTACACTCTCAGAATATCCAGAGGCATGAAAAAATTTTAAAGGTAGAATAAAGAGAATATTCATGGAATACAACTCTGTCATGTCCATTACCCAGTTATATCTGTTTAATATAGTATATTATGGCATGAGGATGACTTATGTAAACATCAGATGGAGAGGTGTAGCAAAAATGTTCTTTTTTTTTTTTTGGTACCGGGGATCAAACTCGCAAACTCGGGTCCTTGCGCTTGCACAGCAGGCGGCGAAACCACTGAGCTAAATCCCCGGCCCAACAAAAATGTTCTTCAAAATGTCCCTGTTTTGATGAGGAGACAAGTATTGTGGAGGATGAATGTTTGTAGTATTCAACAACACTACCTTTTGTAGTATTCAAACAATGGTAAATTTTGAAAATAATTCTTTCAGGATGCTGGTGACATTAACTATAATTTAGACACCTGTAGGCATTTATGTCACGCCTGTCTCTGGGCCATTTTTGACATTGAATCAGAAACCAAAAAAACAACAACGATAACATTTCTAGCTACACATCCTAAGTAGTTGTTGGCAGGATCTGATTAACATTGAATTCTTAATTTATGCAAGAAAACTAAGTTTTAGATCTTTATTCTTTTATGTTTTTCAAATCGGCCTTTTAAAATAAATTAACGAATGCACATCATTTACCTTTAAAATACTGAGAAACACAGATATTTGCATTCTTAAACAATTTAGTCACTTGGTAATTCTCACAAAAGAATCAAATTGAACAGCAACCAAACAGCAACCTTTGCTATGCAAATGTTTCTTAGGTGACACTCATTACATTAGTATGTCATAAATTATGACATTATATTTGTAAAATACAAGAAATAAAAAACACTTCTCAATTAGAAATTAATTCTATATTTAATGTAGTCTATTTGTATCTTATAGCGGAATCACTTACTGTTACCCTCCAATATCTTCTATTACTAAACATACATTTAAGAAAACATCGGAAGACTTTGAGAATCCTATTATATAGGATCATTTCTCTAGCTTGTGGTTTCTCAATTGTATTGTTGATTTAATATGGTAATTAAATCTGGAAGTGATTTCTTGTATAAGTTCTTCTGGTACAATCATGTCTTACTCATTCTTCTTTCCGCAGATTCTATTATATTGCAATACAGTAATTTCTAAATAAATAATGGATTGAGTAATATTAATATGATCTCTATACAAAACATTTTAAAATTACATAATGCTTTTAAAACTTTACCAAATTAGTACCCATGATACTATCCCTACAGAATTCTGAGAACATTTTGTAATACATAACACAGCTACACAGCACAAAAGTAATCGAAGTGAGAGCGAAGCCATTGACAAATACTTGACAAACTAGAAATTATAAAAAAAATTTTTTTGGATCAGTTAACAACTCATTATGACTTCTACATGCTAAATTCAAAATTCAATGTTTTCACTGCCTTATTTTTGTTTCCTGACAACATTATGAGGTAAATGAGATAATCTCCATTTTACAAATGTGGCAGTGTAAACTTAAGGGATATCATTCCAACAGCAAGGGTCAAAAGGGATGTGATCCTAGGCCTCATCATATGTGCAGTGATGTTTCCTTGGTGTTATTTTTCTATTCCATGCACATGTTCATAGTCTCTGTACATTTAAATTACTTGAAGAGCATAACTATGATTCATTCAAAAGAATAAGAAGCGAAGTGATAAAATTGTCCAATATTATGGTCATTCTGTATCAACTAGATAAGAGTCAAATATATTTGATGTTCATTAGTCCTTAGTTGCTTCTCTGACATTATCAATATGGATAAAATCACTCACTAGGGAAATTAAAAAGCATTAAATGGCAATTGCTGAAAGAAACTTCGTTATTTAAAGTCCTATGCCAAAATGACAAGGCAATCAAAGTTTGACAGGGCAAACTAATTATTATGCCAGATTTGAAATGTAAAACACCTCACAGTTCTGATTCTAAAAGTTTCATATCATCTTAATGGGCTCTTCACATAAATTTTCAAGCAAAGTAAACAATATTTAAAGTCAAGGTCTTTTTTTTTATGCAAGCTTACAAATTAAAATGATGTGCTAGCTTATTAAAAAGGAACTAGGTTCTTATATCAGTTAGAAACTTTTCTGTATAGAGCTTAAATTATAAAGGAACTGCAAGAAAAAACTGTCATAAAAACATAAATTAAAGATAAATTCTACATTGTTTTTAAAGAGAAATTAGATAACTGCACTGTAAGGGAAAATTTTATTTCACACTGGGAACACAGTTATTTCTATAAATGAAAGCCATAACAGAAAGTATAAAAGCAAATAAAAAACGATGTGTGCAAAGGGTGTTATATAAATAAATGAATGACTGCATTATTTTTCAAATCCTAATATGCAACTGCTTATTAAACGAACAGAAAACCCACCATACTCTGAAAGATAAAATTCAGTGATAAACTGCCTTGGAGGACAATAACAAAAAAATGCTCTTATTATAAGAGACAATAAGTAGGTAACTGAATGAAAAATAAAAAACTAAGCATTGTTTTGACATGTCACTGAAATATTTTCAAAGATGAACAAAATTTCACGAGCTTATGAAAAAAACCTTCCAAAGATTAATCTCTCTTTCAAACAGAAAGGTAATTTGATTTTTTTCATTACAAACTGACACACAGCACTCACTGAGGAGATTGTGTTGTGAAAACACACCACGTCACTCGGCAATGCTTGATCAAAATCAGCAATCAGAGGCAGAAAGAAGGCTGCATTTCCTAATCATAATAGCAAATTCTGGAAGGCAACCAAATATATCATCTGGCAACCCAGCAGCTGTTACAGCTTGCTAGTAATACCTTGGCATTTGCTGTAAGCTATAACTTAGAAAAATTGATTTTTCATCTGCCAGATAAAAACCAAAATCTCCTTCTAACATTTTAATATTTAAATAAAATATATGTACTGGTCATTTTTATTTTACACATTTTGTAGCAGGGCTGCCAATCTCATTTTTCTACTTAGTTTACTTAAATTCTAAATACTTGCCAAAAAGATGACACGAGTAATAATGTAAATGTCATTTTGATAAACTTTATTGAACAAGCACAGTGAATTATCTATTAATATCATTCTCAGTTGCATTTATCCTTTTTAAGTAGATAAACAGTTGTTTTCTAAAAAGACAAGTTCGGGGATGCCATTAGAATTTCATCAGCAACAATATGAAACGGTAAAATTGCATGTTTTAATGATCCAAGTATATATAATTACAACTATAAATTAAGCAACTTTAAGGTGGAATTTATTGAAATGAAATAACTTGACCAAGACTACATACATTACTGAAATGTTTGAACAATATAAACAGTAGCACTAGAAAAAATAAATTATAACTTTAGGCATAATTGGCTTTCTTAAGACACTATTTTATTTTAAAGTCCCTCAAAATCTCAGCATAGAAAAGATATTTTCCATTAAGTAAATTCTTTTCAAAACCCTTCAATTCTAGCATTTTATTTAGATCTTGAAATGCCAAAAAGCATTTAGAATTTAACATTTATGCAACCCAGTTTTAGAAAATGAAATGGCATACACATATCAAATGACAAAGTTATCAAGTAGAGGCCTACCTTTATGCCTATTGCTGTTCTCTTAGCTTCTGCTTTTAATTTGGTTGCTCGTAAAATAGGTTTGGTTTTTTTATAATCCTGTTTACCTAGAAATAAATGGTTTCAGACAATGAGTTATGCTTATACATAATTCAGGTTCAACAGTCATCAGAAATGCCAAAGAATGCTTAAATAGAGTAAAACAGGGACACAAAGTTGCAAAGCAGTTCCCTCATGTGATAATCACAAACTTGTCACCCAAAGGTCAACTTTTCATCTTCATTTCCTTTTTTCAGAAAGAAGATTCTGACAGACATCTTTGATGTGAGAGGCAATGAATGCCAAAAAAAAAAAAGAGCTTACACCTTATTTTAGAGAGTAAGTTTATAATAAAAAGAATAAGCCTTTTGGAAGGATTTGAAAACAAATGTATAAATAAATGAGTATATGTAAGATCCTGCTTTACCTACTATTGATAGGTAAAGTTAACTTTGACTTTATAATTAAAGAGTAATAGCTCATTATAGATTTATCATAGGTACATTAAGTATTAAAATAATAAATTTGGGAAATATTATCTAGTTTTCTCTAAGAGACTAAATAAGGAATCTGTAAATAACTAACTTTTAGTTCTCTGAATTCATTAGGAAAATATGTATTTAACTTTTGTTTCCTCCTAATAGAGAACAACAGAATAAATATGACTAGATAAAAGATGTAGTGTACCTACATGTAGATATTAATCTTAATCATCACAACCACATTTCACAGTCCCAAATGAACAAAACTTAGTTTCACAAAATTTCTTCTTTTTTTTTTTTTTTTTTTTTTTTTTTGATGTACCATCTGGTAACCCCACCGATGAGCTGAAAAGAGATACTATACAGCCTGGGGGAGAAAATAAATTTAGCAACAAAAACATTACAATAGTATACTTTTTTGATAAGTAAACTCTTGACTTGGAACTGAGGCAAAAAAGACTCAAACATTAGAGTATATTGTTATTCTGAGTAGCAGTTTACATGCCTATATAATCTCTCAGGTTATTTCTATTATTGTTTTGACTTCCTGTTTCTCAGTCATTTCCTTTCTTTTCAACAATCAGTTCCTTTGTAATACTTTGCATAGATTTCTTTTATTAAATAATACAACTTCTAACTTTCATTTCCACATCTTCCTCACACTAAATAAATCTAAAAGCCATTGATCTAAAGTAGATCATAAAAATTTAAAGTGCAATAAATCTGTTTCTTAATGTGTCTGTTAATGATTCAAAGTAACTTTAAAATTTCATATAGATTTTTAGAATTAGAACTGGCAGAAAGAAATGAGTCAGATGATTGGAAGTAATGTAGACATGGTATATTTGTGTTCATTAGACACATGAAAGTGTTTGGCAGAAGAGCTATGTATTATTTTTTATGGAAGGGGTATACACTCCTTCCTTAGCTGCTATTTTATAGAAGTCATTCTGAATCTATAAGCAGAAGCTTAATAAATATTATTTGATAATGGGGTTTAATGATCCAGAAGTGAGCCAATTGTAAAAATGTATATCAAATGATCTAAATTTAAATCATGGAATAAATAATATGCATGAGAATATTACTCTGACTCACTTTAAATTAGTAACATTTAATTTTGCTGAAAAACGCTTGACAAGTGTTCACTCTGATTTCACATCTCAACAGTCAAATTATTCATGTCATTATTCCTGCTGAGATATAAACAGTTCAGAACAATGAAAATGGTAACACATCAAATGTTTCCACTCAGGGTTACAAAGCAACTTTCTAATGACAACCTAAAAAGAAATTTGAAGATTATATATTTGAGGCCCAAAAGTAATTTCTTGTTTTTTCCAGTATATGTCCTATAATAATCTCTGAGTGCAATGGAGAAGAAAATAAATAAATAAAAATATTATCTTAACCAAAATGTTTTTCATACAAATATGTCACCTTTTGGCCTCTGTGTCTGTCAGAAAACAGTCTCAAATATAACTATACATAAGTCAATGTTAAATAAGACTTCATCACTATTTCAGATGCCACGTAACTATTGGTGAATAATGAATTCTATTTCAATTCAATTCCTACATCTTCTTAGAAAATACTTCTAGTTTTATATTAAAGATGATATGAACATTTGAAACTGTATTTATAATAAATGATATTAAAAATGTTATACACTTGGTATTTTTCCAAACTGTGCATCTATCACTAATTTAGTATTCCTCTTATAGACTATGATATCCAAAAGTATGTATCTGCAAAATTTTATTTCACTCTATTGAGTCAAAATATTTACATGGCATCTGTTAATTTCTTTGTAACAGAAACTGAATTTTCTAGTTTCTAATAAGTTTTCAACATGTGAATTTTCACGTCTTCAAGACAGATAACTATGTCCGCATGATTGAAAAAAATCCAAAATACAGAAGTCCTTGCCTTCTGAATGTTTTCATCTAGAAAATATGCACAAACATAGATACACATGCACACATGCCTACACAAAACAATATAGATTTTATGTGTATGTTTCTTGGACAAAACTGTGTCTGATTCTGGTTATAGCAACAATGTTAAGGAGTTTGGGATACAGCTAAATGTTACAGCAAGGCTTAACATACATAAGTTCCTGAGTTCAGTCTGATAAAAAAACAGTAATAACTCAAGTATCTATTCAAAAGTTGCTCATTAAATTTTCTGTGGAAGAAGAAACCTGACATTTTAAACTTGTAAACCTCAATAGTCTAGTTTCTCTACTCTCAGTGACATCATTCATCACATAATTTTTGTATTTTCATTTCCTATAATATAGTTTAAGTAATAAAGACTTTTCTCCTTAGCTCCACGATCAAGTGATTCATGCTTCCTTCCTCTCATATAATTCTATAACAGTGTTTTACATTAAAATGATAATTTAGTGAAATTTACTTTTTCCTTTATAGTTCTATGGATTTTAATGCATGTATGGACTCAGATAACTACCTTCAAAATCAAGATACAGAATAGTTGCATCAAACTTTAAAACATACACATACCACTCCTTCCACTAATAATTACTGTAATTCCTGATCTAGTATCTATTTCTGTAATTTTGCCTTTTCAATAATGTGGCAACATGGTGGTAAGCGCTTCATTAATTTGGTGCAAAACTTTTAAGTCTGATCCAAGATATGTTTCAGCAATTTGTTCTTTATTGCTCAGTAGTATTCCACTGTTTAAAGGTATTAGTTTGCTTACTGACTCACTCACTGAACTGTATTTGAGCTATTTCCATCATTTAATAAGTATAATTAGAACTACTCTAGGCATATGTATACAAGTTTTTGTGTAAACATTAAGTTTTCATTTATCTAGGACTGGGACTCTGAATCATATGATAAATATCTGTTTAATTTTGTAAGGAACTTCCTACAAACCACTTTCCAGGGTAGTTGTATTATTTTGGATTCTCATTTCCCATTAGCAATGTGTAAGAGTCGTGATAACATCACTAGCATTTGATATTGATTTAGCTAGGTAATAGAATTATTTCAGCACATTATTGTGCATTGTATTCAAAGTCATTCCTACTTAGCATTTTGGGTCTTTCTCTGTCTCTCTTTCTCTCTCTTTTTCTCTGTCTCTCACATTCTAAAAGTTTTATAATGTTGCTGAAATTTTTTAATGGTAAACTTGTTTTAATAATTTTTTCTATTGCTTTTCCGTTTTCTGTCTTTATTTCTTTTTTAATCTTTAATATATCCTTTTTCAGCTTGCCTTGAGTTTAGTTTGGTCTAGTTGGTTTAGGTAGAAAATTATTTTTAGATTTAAAATCTTTATTTTTTATTAATAGTGTCATTAACAGATATGAATTTTCACATAAATATTCTTTAGCTGCATTTCATAACTTTTGTCATGTTATATTTTACATTTGTTCATCATAAGGTATTTCCCTTGTAATTTCTTTGAACTTTATTAATTTATAAAAATGCTATTTCATAAACATGTTTAATTTGCTTAGGTATACAAATTTATTGTGTTAGCAATTTCTGACTTCATTCTATTGCATTAGAAAATAAACTTTGTATGATTTCAATTCTTTTAAACTTGATGAGGCTTATTTTATGCCCTAACATATGCTCTATCCTGAAGAAGGTTCCATTTGCTGTTGAGAAGGATATGTTGCCTGCTGCTGTTGGGTAGAATGTTCAACAGGTCTAGTTGGTTTATAGTGTTGCTTATCTTCTCTTTCTTTTATGATTTTCTTCCTAGTTGTTGTACCTGCTATTGAAAATGGAAGATTGAAATCACCAAGTGTTACATTTTAATTATCTGTTTCTGTTTTCAATTTTGTCAGGATTTGTTTCATATATTTTGGGGCCCTTTGTTATATGCTTATACGTTTTCAATTGTAATATCTACCAGAAGAATTCAGTCGTTTATCATTATAAAATGTCTTTCATTTCTAACAATTTTTATTATAAAACTGATTTTGTATAATATTTGTATAGGCATCCCCTTTCTTCTGGGTACTATTTTCCTAGTATACCTTTTGTCATCCTTCTATTTTCAAGTTATTTGGGTCTTGAATTTAAACTGTGTGTCTTGTAGACATGATAATGTTTTTTATTTATTCTACTGTTCTTACTCAAGAGTAGATTGGTTAATCCATTTGTATTTAATGTAGTTAATGTAAAGGATTTCTGTTTGAGGTGATTTTTTGGTTTTCTGTATGTCTTATGTCACTTTGTTCCTCTATTTATCTGATACCATCTCTTGTATTAAACCATGGGTGTCCATGGGCTGGGGATTTAGCTCAATGGTCTTGCCGCCTGCTGCGCAAGTGCAAGGACCCGAGTTCAATCCCCGGTACCAAAAAAAACCGCAAAAAAACCTGCAGGTGTCCAACCTTTTGGCTTACCTGCAGCACACTAAGTGAAAAGAAATTGTCTTGGGCTGCATATTAAATATAAAATATAGTTAATGTATATAAGTAACAAAACATTACCACAAGAAGCCTAAGTATAGTAATTAAATAAGAAAATTTACAGGTCTGCTTAATAACAATCAGTGCCTATCTTCATATGCACATACACATAGGTAGCTGAAATACTACT